CCTGCTGGGCTCCGGTGATCCTTCCGCCTCAGCCTTCCAAATAGCTGGAACTACAGGTGCACGCTACCACGCCCAGCTAATGTTTTGATTTATTGTAGAGGTGAGGTCGACAAGTTGCCCAGGCGGGTCTCGACCCCGCGGGCTCAGGCCATCTACTCACCTCAGCCTCCCCAAGTGAGGGTTACAGGCTGAGCCACTGAGCTCGGCTTTGAATCATTTTTTTATATAGCCTTGTTCAAGCAGCATATGATTAAAATATGATGAATCTGTACGCAAAACTCAGCTATAAATTTCTTAGGAAAGTAAGTCACTGTCATGAAGTTCTTAAAGAAATCTACACTTTTAAACAAGTGACAATTGCACCAAGTCCATTTTCCCATAGCACTTAATATCACTTGCATCACGCTTGAATCTTTGTTGTTTTGTGCGCTGTTTTCTTTCTTTCAGGCCTTCTTGGCCTTGAAGTATTTTGTTTCTGTGAACTGAAACGACTGGGTCAGCTAATTAGGCGGTGCTCCGTACGCACACGGAGGGCCGTCTGCGCGGTCGTCAGTGACGAGAATGTGGTTGTGCCTGCACGCGCCGTCCGAGCCGGCCGTGGCCTGTTGGCTCGGCCTCTCCGGCCTCTTGTCACTCGTCTCCGCCCCCGTTGGCCAAGCCCGGGAGGGACCCGGGGTCAAGGCCGTGCCACGGTGGGTGGCCGCTGGGCGCCGGCGGGCCTGGCTGCTGCCACAGATGTCGGCTCACACAGTCCTGCTTTAGAGAGGTGGGCGCTGGGGCCTTGAGAGCCCAGACTTGGCATCCCGGATGGTGACACAGACTCCAGCCGAAGCTAAAGCACAGAGAACGCGTTTGAGAAGCTCCAGTTTCTTTTCCTTCTCTCCTGGGGATTTCGGTATTACTTGAGAGAGCAGCAGGATGTGAGAACACGGGCTTTGGAGTTCGACTGCCTGAGTTGGTATCCTACCTCTGCCACAGTTTGGCTCTGTGACTTTGGGCAAGTTGTCTAACCTTTCTGATCCTTACTCGCCTTATCTCTAGAATTTGGAGAACAATAGTAAAAGGTGGTAAGGATTAAATGAGTGAATACGCATCACATGCTCAGAAGAGTAGTGAATGTAGTTAAGTGCTGTAAACGCATTAGCTGTTGTCATTGTTTCTTTCCTATGACAAGTCAACTTCGACAACAGGAAATGGAACACAGTATGAAGAAAGGAGTCTGAGCCCTTCAGTCGATCCCTTCATCTGCTTGCTCAGAAGACACAGCGCCATGTGTGGGCCTGGTCTTGTGCTGGTCCTCAGGAGCATAAACAAGCAGTTGAGGTGACCGTCCTGAAGGAGTGGGCAAGCTGAGGGGACAGGCATGCACACTGGCCAAGAACTTTGGATTTGCAGACTTGTACTTGGTTTCCAGCTTCACCTCTTCGTGTCTGTCTGACTTTGGGCCAACTACTATTTCTCAGTTTCTTCATCTGCTAAATGGGCGTTATGATAGCTACTCACTGGATTGGTTTAAATTAAGAGATAACACATGTGACGTATTTTTGCCTGGCGTCTTGCATAGCAGGTGGCCCAGAGTTAGAACTCAAGGAGTAGCTGTTGTGACTTTTAGTTAATAAATAGGCCCAATTTGTGGTGTAGGTGCTACATGTGGTTTACACGGGGAATCTGGGACACATCTGATTTTATTCTAACTGGGCCACATTTTCTTGACTTGGGCTTCATATACTACCAGTTTTTGGGAAATAGGACTTTTAGTTATCTTTGCAAATTTCATACAATTTTTGGAAATGAAGTTATATTTTCTGTCATCTTCCATTATGATTTGAGAGAGATGTTTCTTAACGGGCAACAAAAATGACCAAGGAGAGGAGAGCAGCGCTAAGACAGTGGCTCTCAGTGTGGTCCCCACGCCAGTTATATCACTGTCACCTGGGCATTTGTTAGAAACACCACTTCTCATCTCTAGATGTAAAACAAATTCTTGGAGCAACAAGTTTTGTTTTAACAAATGCCACAGGTAATTCTAACGCAAGTTAAAATTGATGAACCACTACTACGTAAGAAGAGAATACCGGGAAGCAAATAGCTGTCTTTGCCACAGCATGTCAGATGAAGGGCCCAAAGCACACCAGCTGAACACATTCCAGTAATTGCTGGCGAACTGGAGAAGCTCTTGAGAATAAAGGGGGGGAGTGTATTTAAAGAGAGACACCTTCAGGCCTCTTTTGGCTGGGTCTGTGTGGCCTGGGCTCTGGCCAGATTGGCACGGATGGTGATGAGTCTTGGATTTGCAGCCCTTTGCCTTGTGAATAAAGGGGCCCTTCTTCCTTGGAGTCCGTGGTCTTTTCACTTGTGCCACAGATGGGAGCCACTGAGTAGGTCCGTCCTGAGGTTACAATGAAGGGCAAGGTGTGTGTGGCCCTTGTCTTCGTTGGAATTTGCCATGGTCTAAGAAAAACCCGATGAAAACAAATGACTTTACAAATAATTAATTGCAGCGGGGATCAGTGTTGTGAAGGAGAAGTACAGTAATCAGAGAAGTTTTGCACCACCAAGCACATTTCTCTGCAGTCAGGTTTTTTAAGTGACTGCCAGTCGTCGAATGCAAGTGCCTTTTCTCAGCCCTTGTCGTCCTTGTCCTCGCAGTGTTGCCTTACCTGACCTCTGCCCTGCTCTGTGAGAAGCTTCCTTGTCTTGGCTTCCAGCTCACCTCTTCTTCCTTCTTTTCAGTTTCCTTTGCTGCGTGCCTCATCTTCCCAAACTTCTAAATATTAGATTGCCTCTTGGGCACTACCTTATCCACTGTCACCCTCTAGGACATCTCAGCTGGACTGGAGGCTTGAGTGGTCAGTCCTACACTGGCAACCCTTACGCTTGTTTATAGTCAGGACATACCTCCTGAACTCCATGCTTAGGCATCTACCTGACTAACAGATCTTTAGAAGACCATTTACAAAGTAAAACTGAAACTTTGTAATTTGAGCAGATGTCAGAGGCCCAGTCACTCGGGAATGCTTTAGAACAGTTTGTAACTTTTAGGCATAACACTGTGTACATAGGCTTGAGGAACTGACATTGTCAGGAAATGAGGTTGAGCAGAAAATTATGTCCTGGTTGGCCTTGGAGGCAGCTGCTGATTGTGGCAATGATAGCTACAGGAAAGAATAGGTTTGTAGGTTTTATA